ATTTCTTTTTAGAATTTTTATTTGCATCACCCTCAAAATCACACCACTCAACATTTACTGATTGTACTTTGGAATTTTTAATAATAATCATTAAAGAAAAGAGGACAACACAACCAAATGACATTATTAGTGCATGGAATTGTCTTTTTTATTTCTTTATACCATCAACAATGAAAATAAAAACACAGAAAGCCACAGGATATTTATTTAATTTTTCTGTAAGCGCTTTATTCTTTCACACACAGAAGTACCCTATTACCGTGGAAATGCCCACATACCAATATATAAATGTATCACATAGAAAACAACTATAATAAATGGGACAAGGAGTTGCTATTTCTTGCCAAAACACTGGTATAATTTAATAATTTCTGCTCGTTTTACAGAGACAACTGTTAAAACAATATGTACAACTAATTCAATCTACACAATATTTGATAATAATAACTGTCCTTGTTCACAGTCACTCTTTTTGGATTTTTATTTTCAGAGGCAACTTTCATGCTGTACAATACATGTACCGTACAGTACATGTACATGTAGGCATAAAGGCAAAGCCCTATTTATACAAGTAGTTCATTTTAGCTTCCCAGAGCTGCACTGCTCACCATTCCCTTGTACTTTTGTCCCCCCCCCCCCCCCCCCCCCCAAAAAAAAAAAAAAATGAAAAAAAAAATAAATAAATAAATAAATAATGTCTACTGACTCTACTGACAATTGTACTCGTTTTTATGTCTGGTCAAATTGGTTGTTTTATTGAATGAGGAATCACCTGATGTTGTTGATTTCATGGTGATCATTTAATGACATTCATTGAATGACACTCATTGGGCGTTAACAGGTCTCATTAAGCTTCTGAACTCTTGTAGTCTTGTGCCAGACATTGATATGTCATGATAAATGCATTTTCAGAAATATAATTTGAAGGAAAAAAAGGTGTGTTGTTCCCTTGATTAACTGACTTTGATATGTGTACGTGTATCTACTGTTGAAGAAGCCTTCTTTAAAGAGGAGACATCTTCTTTTCCCAGCACATTCTTCAACACTTGGATTCTGCCATTTTGGGGGTGAAATTGCCAGTTTTGCCACCCATGGCACAAAAAACTGTTAAACAGTTGAGAAAACTCAGGCTTCTTAGCAGGAAATGGGTTTACCCCTGGCCCAAATATGTATGGTCTCACAGCATCTTTAAAGGGATCCGGTAACTTTGTCTCAGATTCTGAAATAAAATTCTGGATTTAGCTCATGATGCAATGATAATTATAAACCTTTAGGTCAGTCAGGAACCCCATGACTATTACAAGCCGATTGCCTGTCTGATTATCAAGATATTTATGATTGGAATTACAAATTTTGAAAACCGTTCGCCTGACGGTTTTCATAACACTACAGTCTATTGGGGAAAATGAGTATGGTAAAACCGGTCACTCAAAGATTTTTACTTTTTTGAGGCACTTCTTGATCATTTTGAAGCGCAATTTTTTTAGGGCTTCAATATTACACCATATCACAGACACTGATAACACGTAGGGCCGTGTATCTCAGATTTAACGTTGTTAAACGATGCCTTTAATAGGAGCGTTACAAGGGGAAAACAAAAGCAATTTGCAGACCTGTCTAAAAGTACAGTATACATTACATGTACATGTATACTGTATGTAAAGGAGTTATATTTACAAGTTGAGGCGTACCTGGCAGGAATTGATTGCACATGTACATGTACATGTATATGCTTGAGTGCCATAATGGCAGCCAAGTAATTGTGGAGAGCCAGGTGTGTGTAAACCGCCAACTCCAAGATTATGATTTCATGCATACAGGTACATTGTACATATTTGTGGAGAATAACTGGAAATTTAGGATCACTCATGCTTGGTTGGAATGCCAGCGTTAGACTAGTTGGCATGAATTCAACACAACTATTTTACGCTGTGTATTTGTGTAGAGATAATGACGCGCTAAATAGGGCCAGTACTGGTTACCTCCTAGGTCCAAAGTCCAAGTCTATAGTACAAGCACCTGACAATGAATAGTCTGCCATTGAGACCACTGGACACCCCGCCCCCAAAACAAGCAAACAATCAAGTTTGTGGTACCTGTACAGTGTCATGTCACATCCACAACCTTCATAAGCCTCATATCACAGTTCCCTGGTTACATACATTGTACATGTCCAGTATGTACAAATTTGAATATGATTGTTTATCTACCTGCTATTAGGCCAAATAAAAAAAAAAACATGTTTAGCGTCCTGTTTTTTTCGAAAAATAGGAAGGAGGAGGCCCTTTTTATTTTTTATTTTTGCTTTCTAAAGGGCCGCTCAAAATGGCCACTCGGTACATTTTCCCTGACAATCGAGGCTATTTTTTTTCAAGATGGCCGCCGACAATTTTTTTTTTTTTTAAATCAGAAATAGAGCCATTTTAGCAGTGTTTTTCATGTTTTTTTTCTTTCAAAAAAATTTTTTTTTTAAAAATTAAAAAAAAAAAAAAAAAAAAAAAAAAAAAAAGGAGGCGGCCCCCAAAAAGGAAGCGGGCGGGGACGCTAAACATGTATATTTTTTTAAATGGCCTTAGAAAGCATGTGCTGTATAAATTTAAAGCAGCCAGGGGACCGATGGCTTCAAGTCCTCTCCCAGGGTAATGAGGATTTAATGCCTTACCAAAGGGCAGGAGTTACATGTACAAGACCACTGCTCTACCACTGACCATCTTGAGCCACCTATTCAATACATGTGCAAAATCACTCTCAAACCACTGTGGAGTGTATGTTGAGCAATGGACAAAAACAACAACAGTTTCGTACAATATACTAGAGTCTGTTATAATAGGCTAATGTGTTACATCACAGATGCCTAGTCTGATATTTGTTTGTACCGGTATGTTTTTTTGCCCCTCGCTGAACTATTCACCAACAGTGATGTTATTTTACATTCATTGTCATTTTTCTCTTGGCGAGGTCTCACAAATGGGGTTGCATGATACCGAATTCATTAACTCCCAAATTCAGAACTCTAATTCTTATTTTTCACTTCATAGTGAGAGGCTCTGTCTGCTAATGATGTTTTCGAGGTACAAAAAGTCAAATACTGTATAAGGTCAATTTACACAGCCCAAACACCATTTTGGAAATCATTGATTTTTGGACTGCCATTTATATTACTGAAAAAACCCATTAAAAGACATCACTGTTTGCTCCTTCCAGTTGTTGAGTAGTGTGCGTACATTACATGTACACGACCTGTTGCTGCTCTGCATACGATCTCACAGAAACGAGGAAAGTCACATGACGAAATACCAGAAGTTTTGAGAGCACAAAATCTGTGAAGTTTTGGCAGGTGTTTAAAACAAAATTCACAGATTTTGGCAGGTGTTGTTAACAAACACACTCAGGAGACCTGTGTATTTTTGCGATTTCAGAGTTTTGTCATGTTTGCAGTTACAATGTAGATGTACATGTACATGTACCAGTAGTTGCTTTGCCAAAATGAAACCCCAGAAAATGAGAAAAACCAACAATTCTTGCTTGCAATGTACTGTAAATGCAGCTACATGTACATGTACATGTATCCTCTATGATAACCGGATAGAAACATTAGTTCTTAAAGAGAAGGTTGAGTTCTGGGAAGAGGTGAAAAATAATTTGTGAGCATTACTCATTCTTATTATGCAAGTGTGGAAGAACATCAGTTAAGACATGTTCCCTGAAAAGCATGGCTCTTCAAATGCCTTCATATTCTAAATATGCATGTACAGTGTAACATCGTAAAAATCGGGGACCGGCTTTTTACGCCACGTGTTCGTGTAGTCCCATATACATCTTTCTGTGCTAGTGTTTGTAACTTTACCAAGACTTGGCCAACTTTCTTATCATTTTGATGATTCCAGAACCTTGCAATACACACAAAGTCTTATATGCTGGATGATCAACCTTTTCTGGTTGGTTCCACACCGTTTCTTTCACAATGCAATCGCATGACCAGAACTCAACTTCATCTTTAACATGCCGGTAGGTACAGTGTAGGTATTTGCTTTATCAATGGGGCAAAAAACAATAGGCCTACACTGTACTGTACATGGACTGTAAACTACAAGTAACCTTGCTGAAGTTGCTGTCATCATGAGCGTCTTTGTTTTCAAGAAAATATAACAAATTAGACATTGTTTAAACTTTTTTTTTTATCAGCAGGGTAAGGTACATGTACATGTACATGTACTGTATGGCCTATCTCCAAAGACACAATGCATTTCTCATTGATTCAGTTATGTAACTTACTTCACATGTACAGGTATAAACATTGGGCGTACATTCAAAACAGAAGAGGGAAGACAATAGAGAGGGATGAAGACAGAACTAATAAAGAACTCAAGAGGGCTCTGTTATCTGTACCTGCCCTTGGCAGAACAACCAAGATAGAAACAATAGGGCTGTATTGAAAAAACTTGTAGCAACAGAAAGCTGTGTGCGCAAAAACTACTACCGGTACTGTTTGTTTTTAGGAATAAGCTTGTTAACATTGTTTATTACAATGACTACTGTACATGTACTAGTAAATATTATTTTTTGCCTTCCAAGGTATCTATCTTTGTTGAAAATTGACAACAAGAAAGATGAGGCCATTACAAAAAAAATATTATGTTTAGCGTCCCCGCCCGCTTCCTTTTTGGGGGCCGCTTTTTTAAAGTAAAAAACATGAATAACATTCTGCTAAAATTATCTATTTCTGATTTTACACACACACAGAAAAAAAATGCCGACGACCATCTTGAAAAATAGCCTGACTGTCAGGAAAAATGTACCGAGCGGCCATTTTGAGCGGTCATTTTGAAGAAAAAAAAGAAGAAAAAAGGGCCTCCTCCTTCCTATTTTTCAAAAAGGCAGGACGCAAATCATGTTTTTTTTTGGTTTTATTTGGCCTAATTGATTTGTATCATACCCTGTGGCAGGCCTGTGCTATTATTTTCTTTCAAATAAGAGGAAAACTGAATTGTTTCACTCACCTTAGTTGAAGAAGCCTGTGAATCTAATCTCAGCTTGTTATGATCCCATGTTTACTGCACTTTCTATTACGTGATGATCGGTAATATGGGAAGCCTGCAATTAGGACCTTGTCTCCTTCCCCTGGCTCAATCGAGTTAAAACACCTCTTTTTCCCCCTCTCTGAAAGGTTTGCCTCTCTTCGTCTGTTGTCTCAACAAGGTCTACAGGCAGAGAGGGTTTCTCATGCTGTAAAATCATGTATCCTGTTATTCACAGCTCAAGTTCATGTACACAAAATTTGTTTTGAAACAAGTTTGAGTTCAGCCTTCTTATATGAAGGTTGTTTGTCAAGACCTACTGTACTGTACGTGGAAGGTGGTTTCGTCAATCTACCCGGGTCTATTCGCGTCATGTTAGGGAAAGTTCAGGCAGCCGGCCTTTACCTGTCATGAACTGTGCGAGAGGGAGGGGGGCAAGAGACCTGGCTGCAGGAGATAATGACACAAGCTATTTGGAGGGGGACATGCGCAAAGTGATCTTGACTTAGTCACCGTCACGCAACCGCTTAAGATTTAGGATAGAGTCAGTTAAACTAATCAGAGACTTAGCCAAGGGAGTAGCAATTTTATGTTAATGAGATCATGAGGATAGTCAACGAGCAAGGGGGATCAACCTTTTTTTTCTGATAGATCATCGTGCAAATAGTTTAGTTTGTTTGGACCATTCATTCTGAGCCATGATTGAAAGTCAGGAATAGACAGGGCTGCTCTGTCTCTCGGTTGAATGATTTGCTGCTGATTTTCTGACAGATTTACCCAGTGTGTGCCTGCATATTCTTGGCCTTTGTCGACTTGGCCAGGGCCAGGGATAAATCCACTGTGTTTGTGTATAGGTTTTGGAAACCACTTGTAGCAAGTTACTTTGGTTAGGGTATGTGATTTGCAGTGAGCAGAGAGGATTTGAAAAGGAATAATATGTGAAAAGAGTAATTGTTTGGGACTATTGATTGTTGACGACCAGGATTTTGTCTCTCAACTCCCCCTTTTCAAAAGTTTTCTTGAAAGTGTTATAGAGAAGAGGGATTTTCTCATACACTGTAGTTCTGCCCTAGATAAGCACCAAACTCCTTGCATAAACTTGCATAGCTTCATACAGGGTGGATCCTACTAGCTGACTGTTCATGTCCTGTTACATGTTTTTGGCGTTGATGATTTGATTGTTGACAGAGCGTCAAAACTGTGATTCTTGTTGCTCTGAATCAGTGGCGCATGGAGTTTTACTCATGATCTTGGATTTAATATTCTTTGGATATACTCAAAACCTTGGATTTAATGTGAATCCTGATTGCCTTGATGAGTTATGTTGTGATGAGGATAGTGCAATAACAGACAGACAACTGTATTCAGGATCAGTTTGATAGAACTTTTGTGCAATATTGCACATGTAGATCTGTACATGTACATGTTACGTTCATGTCTATGGATTTCACTTGTTCTCAGCAAGTTTATAATATGAAGGATGTCAAACTTTTTATAGCAGTTTGATAGACCTTACTTAGAGTTCACTTCTCTGTAGTCGTGGTTAAATTTGTGAATTTCGATGCACAAGCGTTACAGCGCCCTCTGTTGTTCAGTGGGCATTGATTCGTTGCGGATCAAGGAGAATGAGAAACCATCTAATACACTGCCGTGGGATCGCAATGGCCATTCAAAATCAAGGCAACAGGTATTGCAGTTTGTAGCAGGCCTGATAATTACCCGATTTAAATCGGTTTTCCAATTTTTTTTCCTGATTGTTGTTTTTTCCTGATTTTATCCAGATTTTCACCTTATTTTCTTTATTCTGTATTTTTCCTATTTTTCCCAATTTTCTTATTCAGAAGGGGGAATGTTGTTAGATGCCTTCCCCCCCCCCAAAAAAAGTAATTCTCTTCTTCTTTTTTTTTACTCGAGGGGGGGGGGGGGGGGCGGGGTGTAGCCAGAGGTCAAAGTTCTTTAAAAACTTTACTTTGTATATCAGTGAGGAAAAAAGAAGACACCATGAAGCTCTTTAAAAACTATGATAAAATAACAGATGCATGAAGGTGATTTCGGTCAGTGTTATGTAGAGTACAATTTGTCAAGTTCAATTTGGTTTTAAAGTAGACCTTTTACCACATAGAACCTTGTCTAGAAAACATTACAGTTCTCGCTTGTATTTACATGTGTGTGAGTGCTTAGAGAAAGTCCATGAAATTGTGTACATTTACATAATTATTTTGTCAAGTTTTATTATTTTTATCCTTTTTCATTTGTACCTCCTTAGAATATGAAGGCGGACCCAGAGAAGCTCTACACGAAGCTAGAGCGTATCGGCAAGGGTTCCTTCGGCGAGGTCTACAAGGGCATAGACAACATCTGCAAGGAGATCGTAGCCATCAAGATCATCGATCTAGAGGAGGCTGAAGATGAGATTGAAGACATTCAGCAAGAGATCACCGTCCTCAGTCAATGTGATTCGATTTATGTCACAAAGTACCATGGCTCATACCTCAAGGTAAGTCCAACACATTTTGGTGATACATATGTTTTTGAAAGCTTTTTTTTATATGACTGTATTTTTTATGTAAACTTGCATTTTTAGTTTTTGACAAGTCTTCAATAAAACCTCATATTTTGAATTGAATTGAATTTGCTCCTGCAACAATTGCTTCAGGTGTAATTTCATCATTACAAACTATATTGTACATGTACAGTTTAGAGTTGTAAATTGGCTTTGGATTATGTTTAGGGTTAGGGTAAGTGTTAGGGTTATCAATACCAATATCAGGGAAAAAAATACTTTATAAATTTCGTGGGCTACTTTTCAAGCTTGCTTGCATGAAAATAACACTCTTTATTTTGTTTTGCATTGAACTCTATACAATTTTGGGGGGCTCTTTTATGACTTTCGGGGTATTTTTAGCATTTTGGGGGCTAATTCGCTCTGAGCACCCGTGTATTTTTTTCACTGCCCTAAATCTAATTGATCTAGAGGAAGCTGAAGAGGAGATTAAAGACATTTAGCAAAAGATAACTATCCTGGCTCAATTAGTGTACACAGATATTGTAAGCCCAGCTGATTTCACTGTTGACACAGGTCTACACATGAACATGTGTTTGTATAGTGTACCAATTATTGATAATGATATGATAGTAAAATACCTGAGTCATAACACATTTGATAAAGCTTTAACTGGACTGCCTTGCACCAATCAAACTGCCATTCACCAATGAATAGAACTTGTTGTAAAAACATACAGCCATTTTAATATAGACTTTGCAAAATATTTTGTCCATTTCTAAACAAATGGAATGAGCAAATAAAATCTCCCTCTTGACACTACTTGTAGGTGAATAGAAATCTCATGCCACTATTTATTCACTGATGAAGGATATTAGTCATGTTCATATTTCAATTAGTCTATAATATATTGATAAGTTCCTGTTTTTAAGAGTCAGTCAGTGAATACTTGTGAAAATTTTTCTTCTCAAACGAAACATGGTCATGTTTGCGATTGCGACACATGGGCGAATGGGGAATCATTTCTGTGCCTGCCTACGTGACTGCCAAACGCTTGTAACAGAGGCTTCTATGATATGTTCACGTAATGAAATATGAATGCACAAAGTACAGGTACATCAATGAAATGGGCTTACTTCAAATCATCAGATTATCCATCAGGTCAGGTAGTCACGTTATCTAACCTTTTGTGAAAACATTTTTTATTCACAAAATGTCAGGGGAATGTTTGTGAAACAACCCCTCCCATCTACCAATGGTCCGGTCCAATTTACCCTACTCTTTGTGAAAACCCTAAGGCAAATCTACGAAAGGTTGCATGATCTTCCGTTTCCGTTTCCCGAAAGGTCGTGTATGGCGACCACCCGACCGGACAGGATTATTTGAAGTAAGCCATGAAATGTCATCCACCATCCCTGCTGGGCCTATTCATGTACATGTACTGTGTGTCCATGATTGGAACTCCTATGGTGTGATGTAGAGCAACAGATACATGACAGTCTCTTAAAGATAAGACCAGTTCTGGTCATGCGATTGCATTGTGAAAGAAACGTTGTGGAATCGATCAGAAAAGGTTGATCATCTAGCACATAAAGTATTGGTGTGTACTCTGCAAGGTTCTGGGATCAGCAAAATGACAAGCACTGTACACAGAAAGATGTACACATGAATATGTGACTACTATGACACATGCGTTATATCTATCAGGTCCAAATAGATATAATAATTTACCAAATATATCAATTAGTAGGCGGTTTTTTGGCAAAATTTGTATCATCTCGTATTATTCAAAACATATTCTTTCACATGATTGGTAATAAGAGCTTCCATTTCATTTTTTGAAAGGGGGGCGTTTCCAAAAGGTCTGTCCTCATCAGCTCGAGATTGCCAAATATCCCGCTATTTTCGGAACTCGGGATATTATCCTGATGCTCAAAATCGCATCTTCACCAAACCGATAGCCTACACTCATCACAAACTAGCTAGAAAAATAATCTTGAGATTGATGCATGCACACTTCAGAGACCGACTGTACGACCAGAATGCAGATTTGAGATTTTACCCGCGCTGTAAGGCGTAAACAAGTATCGGCTGTGCATGCATGCAGCATGGGTTAGAGCATGTGCTACAAGCTAGTTTATTTTCAAACACGGAAAACGGAAATTGTTGTGCATGATGGGATCTGGACATTTGACTCCGTACTTCAGTCTGATGAAGACGGCGCAAACTATCCCGCTATTTGGGAAATAGTGGGATATTTTGCAAACTAGACCAAGCTTTCTGGGGATAGTATCCCGACCAAGTATCCCGCTAATTGCTATTTCGGGCTGATGGAGACGCAAATTAGCTGAATAATTTGCGATCGGGATAGTTCAAATAGCGGGATATTTGGCAATCTGGAGCTGATGAGGACAGGTGTAAAGAGTCTGTGTTTTGAGACTATCGTATGAGTCTGATTGTGGAAGTCATATATGCCTCAGACAGGAAGAGTAGACCTCAGCAGACTTGAGAGAATTTGTCAAGTCCATTCAGATGTATACTTGATTGAAACTCATCCCAGACTGACTAGACCCAGCCAGACAACCAGCTGTGCCCATTTCAAGAAGCAGTTTAGTTTGCCCCTTGATACATACTGTAGTACAGTAGAGTACAGTGTATGTGTTCAGAGTAGTTTGTCCAGGCAGGCTAGTCTGCAGATTCATACTTGATATAAATATACTTGAACGTCATTCCATGAATTCTTGAGGCTAACCTAACCTGACGGTCTCTGGCAGTATCAAACCAGAGTACAAAGCCTATGGTATACTGTCTACATGTATGTATAGTCTCACAGTTCAGCCTCGTGTTATGCATAACAACTGCAGGGAATAATTTTCCTCAAATATTTTGATTAGCAATTTCAGCTGATGGATAAATATTTCAAATGAAATTCTGTACTTTTCTATGGAAGAAAACTGCTACACAAACAATATTTTGTATAGCAGTCATGCAAAAATGCATAGCAAATTGCGATGCGATACCAGGAAAATTATTCCCTGAACTGACAAGGGTATGTTCCTGCAAACTGGACTTAACCACACCAAGGAGTGACTAGACTCTCCTAGTGACTCCTTGCCCCCCCCCCCCCTCTCAGTGTTATTTAAGGCACGCATATGCATGTTTCCAGCAACCCCCCCCCCCCTTTTTTCAGCAAAAGTCCTGTGTGTAAAGTCAATTTGGGTAGACCTTTTTCTTTTGTTACGAGCCGGAGAATTAGCCCCCGAAATGCCCAAAAGAGCCCCCGAAAGTCATAAAAGAGCCAAAAAAAATTTGCACAGAGTTCAATGCAAAACAAATTAAAGAATATTATTTTCATGCAATTTTTCCCCCTGATTTTTAGTGTCAAGTGCTGCTTTCTTCAAATTTCTAATCTTATTTCTGATGTTTTTCCTGTTTTGATCAATATTGGTTGCAACTCTGCATGGTTCCTGCAGCGTTTTTAGAAATATAATCCCCTAATACAGGAGTATGTACAATGCTGCCGATGCAATAAACTACCTTTTTACTACATGGATGTCCCATTTGCAGGCCAAACATTTAAAAAGGTTATATTCCAATGGCATTTAAAAGAGTTATTATTTTCTATTTTCCCTGCAGTGGTTTACATGTACTGCATCACGTGTAAACGAACCTTGGATAGATTCATTAATAACGTTAGTGCCATTATCCATCAGTAAGGATAGCTATTGTTAACAAAGAGCATGCAGTCTTTAATGTCTGGCTAGCCAGGAATAATTGAATTTGTATTTGAATTTTGATACCGGCCTTCACGTTTCTGAAACCTTGCACGATACGATACGAGAGGGGTTGCTGATTTGATGACTCACGAGGCAAGATTTAAGGATGGGCAGTCTTGACATCTTGCCAGAGCCGAGAGTGAGAAGGAAAAAAAGGGCTAGAAATAAAATCTTACTTTTACTTGTAGTTTTAAAAATAGAACCATTTTGGTTAGCAATTTCACATTATTAGATCAGTCGGGGGTGCCCTTCAATTATGTGTTTGAGATCTCTTTCTCTGCATTCATGAGTCATGCACCAAGCTTGGTGCTCTAGCTGAAAGTCAAGGGCTGCTTATGGTGCATAGACCTGTGGGTGTTTGTATACAGACACAGTGGGTAAGCAGGCAGAATAACAGTGAGAAAAAAATACACGGGGGCTCGGGCGAATTAGCCTTCGAAATGCCCAAATGAGCCCCCGAAGCCATAAAATCGGGTAAACAAAACCATCAAATCGGGTAAACGAAACCATCAAATTCAAAACAGAAAGTGCCATGGACGGTCAAATGCCGGACAGTTAAACATTTGATCACAGCACTACTCTGTACAAAGGTCCTGGGAAATGGGATTGTAGAACTTTTGTACATGTACATGTGCATGTACAAATGTAGGTGCTGCTTCAATATCCTGTTGTTTTATTACATGTACAGTACGTACAATGTACGTGTAGCATGTATTCCAACCAAACATTAAAAAGAGCATGATATGGGTTCTTGTTGTTGTTCTGCTTGCCTTCTGCCCAGAATGGACGTAACTCAGTGATTACTTTGCACTCCATTGCATCTTGCACTTGCTGCTAGCCTGAAAAGTAATCAATCAGTGGTTAATAATTGATGTTTGCGTTTCAAATAATTGCCCATTTGTGGTGAAAGTTGCTTATGAAAAGAGATTTGTATTAATAATGGCATATCATTGCCTAGAGGTATTACTGTAAGAAACAAATCTCAGTGCCATATCAGCGCTAGACTACAAGTCTGAAAATTAGCTCTGGTATACAAAATAGTTACACCAATATTTGTTTAAAGAGAAGGTTGAGTTCTGGGAAGAGGTGAAAAATAATTTGTGAGAGTTATCATTCTTATTATGCAAGTGTGGAAGAACATCAGATATTAGACATGTTCCCTGAAAAGCATGGCTCTTCAAATGCCTTCATATTCTCCATATGTCATGTAACATCGTA